CTGTAGCAAGATTTACATAGGAAGTTATGTGTGGATATGTATGTTTTCTAATATCTTTGCCTTTTTTGGGTTGATGTATTTCAGGGAAGGAAATGCACTATCCTTGCCTCAAATTCCTGCAAATTATTTGAGAATAAAGTAAGTTGTGGCTAACTACTTTTATTTGGGACTTTTACAAAAAAAAATAAAAAAATAAATCTGAAAATGGCGAAAAATGAATACCATGTACCTTAATTTGGTTTGAACTGTCATTTGCTGCTAATGAATTTGGTTAACCTGGTTTTTATTTTCTATGGAGTGAAGAGGTACTTGCAAGGGTACATGGTACAATAATTGGTGGTGTTTGTTGAATTCGAACGAAATGGGGTTAAATTTATACTGCTAAGAATCAAATTAGTGAAATATAGTAGCAGGGGACGGGAGTTAATAGTTGGTTACTCTTTCTAACAGTTACAAGTTGCCTGATTGCAAGTTAATTGTCGTGTTTCAAGATTTTTCCCATGATATGGTCACTTATTCACATTTCATCATGAGAGAATTGGCGAATGAATAATCCATTCTATCTGGGGCTAAGGAGTAGTGTGTTTCCTGTATGTTCATGATTGCATATACGAAGTTGCTTTTCAGGCTTACTAGCAATTGTATGCAACTTTACATTCACAACAACAACAACATACCCAGTATATTCCCAACAGGTTGGGGTCTGGGGGTCAGTTGTACGCAAACCTTACCCTTGTAATTATACAAGGAGGCTGTTTCCGTAGCGACCCAAGGTGTATTGCGCCGTTTGATATATTTTTTTTTTTCTAGAAACTTCACTAATAGAAGAAGCACTAGAATTTAATTGAGCCATTTTGATCTAGTCCATTATTAGCACTATGCCAGGAGAATTGTCAACAATGACTCTTCCAGCTCCATTTGCAATGGACAAATAAATGAAGTGCAGCTTAATTACTAAAAATATCAAAATTTTGAACGTCATGAATGGAAGGATACAGAGCAGTAGCTGTAACACTAGGATTGCACGGAAATTTATAAAAAATCAACAAATTAGGTGATTGCTTTATTAAATTGCAAACACAAGTTTGATCTCCAGGAAAAAAAAAAAGGAAAAAAAAAAAAGAAATAATAAAAAAGCATGCAATAGGATATCTTTGATGAGCCAAGTTTATTTGAGGATTGAGGATAAGCTGCAGAATTGAATGTATATATGCTTAGCCATCATCATATTTATGAAGTTTCATGAACTAACGAGCTAAATAAATAAATAAAAACTTCAACATATACTGTTGTTGGCAACTCTATGTTTTCATGTAGCTCTTGCGTCCACCCTTTTTGGTTATTTTTTTTATCCTTTTAATTCTGGTGAAATGATTGTTAGCATGAACTTGAGTTAGTGAATCTTTTTTGTCCTTTCATAAGCTCTTCGGTTTCTAATGCAGTTTATATTTATATACAAAGTGTTAATGGCTTATAGCTTGTTAATGGCTGAGTCACCTTACTAATTTCGTAGTAGAACTCTTTAGATCATCGAATATGATTCTCTCTCTTCGGGGCTTTTCATGAAGTTGTAGCCTTCGGCCTCAGCAGATTCTGCTTTTACTTTAACTTCAATGTGTTCATTGAACCTTTCCTCCATTTATGTGGCTTGGACCTTCAGTAGTGTGCTCCAAACCCATTTCCTGCTCCATATGTAATAAGTAAAAAGTTTTAGAATAAGAAGTGGATCACTTTTTCTTTCTTTNAAAAAAAAAGAAAGAGATTCGTATGAAATATTTATCTGAAAATTATTATACAGAAAGTTAATGTATATTCTTTGATGTTCGTTGAATCCTTGACAGGGATGGGAGCATATCAGTTTCTTTTGTTCAGAAGTACCTCAAGATGAAGTTAAATCTTCCGAGTGAAGATGAGGTAACTTTTAATCCCCGCTAATTATCAAGGAGTGATTTGTATTACCACTACACAAATTATAGTCGATATATATGATTACCGTGCACGTTTTGCACAATCATAGGGTAGAACTATCTCTTTGTTTTGAAAAATTTTCCGTATACTAGATTGTATGAATTTATCCATCTACCTGTTTCCTTTTGTTGTTGGAACTTTTAATTTTCGAATTATTTCATAGGTCGAGATCAAGTGCATGGGCCAGAAAGTGGGCCCCACATGCCCCCTGCATAATGTGGTTGATATGTGGCTTCAAACCACGACAACTGACCGAGTGGCGGCCACAATCGGGTCATCGGCCAAGGAGTTTGTGATGGTGCTGGGCTATTCGCGCAAAGCTCCCGATTCTTGAAATTGCCCGTTACCCCTTTTGTTTTTTTTTTGTTTTTCGAGACTTCAATAATTATGCTAGTGGTTTCTTGTAGTTTGTTTTCGTTCGGTAGTGGCTCTGGATTTTTCTGTTGCAATAGTTGTTGAGGAAGTTGAATTTTTCTAAGAAATCATTGTAAGTTAAAAAAAACTTGGCAAAGGAGACACACATTGGAGAAAGTTGCAATGATCCAAGTGTTTGATCGCTAGATTTTGCTAATGCCTTATGATTGTTCTGAATGTTAATGGTTTTATTTTTGAGTAATGTTATAAAGCCAACTTGAATAACAACTTGGGTTACAACTTAAATGTAAATGCATTATTTTTTTAACTTTTTCATAATACATTTACACTTGAGTTGTAACTCAAGTTGTCATCTAAGTAGGCTAAACAACATTACTCTTTATTTTTTTCGCCTGAGATTATGTGTAGTGCATGACTAGCGCACTTTTTGGTACATTTGTAATGTAACAATTTGAATTTTCACCAATCAATAAATTGAAAATATAATAATCTAGGTGTTGGTATATGTGTCGTAGAGACAATCTTTTAAAGACATATATACATGATCACATTAATAATTATATTAGATTATAATTATGGTATTGCAATTAATTAAATAATTGTTGATTGTTTGCAATTTATTAATTAATTGCTCCCTTGAGTTGATATTCATTAACAGAGTGAGATGTTAATTGATAAAGTATAACTCTAAAATCGTCTACATCGATGATCATTAAGAAAGAGATATTAATGATACGCGATAGATTGACATGTGGTCTGCATCATATTCTTGGAGAATATAGTATGTCTCACTGCTATGAATAATTGTTATTCGTGATGGACACATGGATACTCTGGAGAGTATTGGCATACCCTACCGATAAACCATTTGTTTATGTGTCTATGGGAGTATTAGTGTGTGGAATGGTGTAATAGTCCTTTGACTTGAGGTCAATATGCAATTCATGTATAGAGTGATTTACTTAGACCTAGTCCAACGCTTACGCCCTTATGGGTAGACATGGGCTTGTGTTGGGTAGATCACAATATACATGGAATTGGTTATTGAGCCAAGATAGGATTCATTCCTCGAATATAGTTTCGAGAGAACACTCGTTTTCTCTATACTGGGTTGATAAAGTCATTGGTCAATGCACATGATTATATTTGAAATGGCGTTCAAATATAATTAATTAAAATCAACCAGTGAGATGAGATAAAATGATTAAGCTGTTTGGATAGACACACTTTCAAATCCTAAGCTTAATCGAGTGGTTCGTGAATGAAGGGACCGTATCACTATTGAGTTCTACACGAAAGGTTTGTTTGTTTGTCCATGTAAACGTACTTCATATTTTGAGTTCGACCTTCGACGCAGTCTAGGAGTTTCGTAAGGATCATAAATTATATTTATGATATATATGAAGACCTATAGGGTCACACAATAAGCAATTAGTTTTCCGGCTAAGAGTGAATCAAGAGTGTTAAATATTCAATTGGATTGAAATATTTATTTATGAGTAATGAAATTATTTTCTATTTGATAGAAAATATTTAATTAAATTAAATTAGATTAAATTTATACTTAATTAAATTATTATTGGATTAGGTCCAATTACCTATTGGGCCATAGTTCTCCTATGGCCCATATAATTAGGTTTGACCTAATTATAAATAGGTTATTATCTCATTGAAGTCTTTAACAATCATTAGATGAGAAAAGACAGATACATCGTCAAATAAAACAGTCTCTAGCTTTCTAGATTGAGGATTCCTCCCTTCTTCATCGGAAGGGATTCATTGGCAGGCGGTTAGATCGTGCACTCGAAAACTGGATTGCATGGATACTCGAAAACTGGAATGCATGGATACCATAGTCGAGGACAAAAGACGAATAACTGTAAGTTTTCGTGTATCATTCACGCGATCTAGGATCATATCGAATAACTATAGCCGGATCTTCGTTGTTGGTAAGAAAAATTTTAAAATTTCGCTGCGCGTGCAATTGATTCGTACGTCGAAAACCCAACACTAGGGACACGAGAACTCCAATTATGAATTTATCATGTTAGATAATCCTCCACCAAAAGAATAATATGATCCCCAAATAATCGTTTTCATTTGCAATGGACTCGAAAACTAAGAGCACCTATCTCTGAATCACATTCTAGTCACTTAAAAGAGCTCAAACACATTCAAATCAACGAGGCCAAATTAAAGCAGCAACACAAAAATCAGCCAAATGTACTGTCATCTGTACTTACTACTTACATCAGCCAACACAAAAAACTCAGACACACATACTGTCAACATAGGTATGCCAGTGTATTTTCTGCAACAAAATGCATGTAAAAGCTCACTTTGCAAAAAGGTGTCATTGCCATTTTCTTTTCACCTATTTAAGCTCTCAAAAAACTCGGTTAAAGGGTTATGGTAACAAGTCTATACCAATTAACTTCCAGACCAATTAGCTATGTACGTTTGCGAGGGAAATTCTAGGTAACACAAGGGCTATCATGAATATAGACACAAAAAACTGACTAATAGCACCCAGTGTTAGTAGAATTTTCTGGGTGCAGAAACTCTTTTCAGAACAGGAATTCAGGTCTCTCCAAAAACTGACGAAGAAGATTCATAGCTTCCGTTGGGTTCTCGTTAGCCAGTTCAAGCAAAGTCGAGCAGAAAATCTCACAGTGAGGAACAACCTTTGGTAAAGATGTCACTGTCCTAATTAGGTTCTTTTCAGCTAGGCTAAGCAGGAAACCCTTTGCAGCAATGCTGTCAGAAAAGACAAAGGCAAAATTAGTTATCCTAATGATTATTGCCTCAAAATCTAGAGAATAAAACATTTCGGGCAAAATTAACAATGATGCTCACCTAAACAAATTTTTGATTTCGACAGAATACGGATCCAGATCAATAGCACTTTTATATGACTTGCACGCCTCAGGGAAGTTCTGTATGGAAATAAAAGCACCACCCATCAAGAAAAGAAAAGGAAAAAAAAAAAAACAAATTCGTAAATTCGATTGAAATTTTAAGTAGACTGAGATGGAGAAATATTTTTGCATACTTTGAGGAGCATCCAGGCAACGCCTTTCATGCAGTGAGCCTTGGGAGAATTAGGTTTCAGCAGGATATAAGCTTCGGCATCATGCAATAAGAAATTGGGTTCATGTAAAGGTATCCAACATTTACTACGGTTTTCCAGCAATGTTACGTTGTCCGGTTGAAGAATAAGTGCCTACAGTTCAGATGCCAATCACAAATTGAACCACAAGCACTGATGAATAAACTAACAGGAGAAAAGTAAATTTCCCAACAACCTCAATTAAGATTAAGCCACAATTAAGTAGAAGGACGAGCTGAATTACCAAATTAAACCATTTTAAGGCCTCTTGGTAATCTCCCCTTCCTAAAGCACCTTTGCCCAGGTTATCAAGTTCCCGAAAGGAGGCCTCTACTTGCTCCCTTCTCTGATATATTAAAAGAAAAAAGTTGGAAATATAACAACCCAGGAAACAAATAAATAGATTCAGAATGCTGCATTCCAACCAATTTCATGCCAGATATCTCAACAATCACGTCTTAAGAGAATCCAAAATGAGAAAATAAAGTATGGGTGCTCTTGGCACTAGTAAAGCGAACAACAGTGGTTATGAAATCAGATTAACTAACTAGCTTGCATGAAAACCCTTTATAACTTTGTAACAACAATACGACTGGCATATGGACGAACACAAAGGCAACCAATGTTTACTCAATGCAAAGAAAGAGAGCATGCAACTCAGAACAAGAACATTTTACCCAGGCAGGACTCAATCTTTAAACAAAAAATAATAATGTGCTTTAGACCTGTCTCTTGGCTTGTTCAGAGTGAAAATGATTTATGATGCCTTGAATGCTCCAATCGCGATATTCCGACATTCTCTCAGTCAAAGGAAACAAAATGTTAACCCCATCAAGATTACCAACGTCGACAGCATGCTCAAAGGGTTTCAACAGATCCTAGAAAACAGCAAAGAATACAAAAGTACCAAGCTAAGCTAAAACCTCAAGGTTTCAAGAATGCAGGGAATACATCTATAGATGAAAACAGTTGGAAAACAAGTAAGATGAAATGTGGTATCAGGATATAACTCAGTGGAGACTGAATGATTCCAAATGACCATTCATGTAAGAAAAATTTCAGATTTTATTATGTCATTTGCATAAATTTTCAGGGCCATCTCTTACAGTTTTAAAAGCCAGATAGTTTTTTCTGCAATTAGGTCAAATATCAAGGGTACATTTATCCCTAAATAGAAATTCGGAACTAACAATGGTGCTTAAGTTCGGATCAGCTCCATTTGCAAGCAAAGACCTAAGAAGTTTCGGATCTTTGTCTCTGACTGCAATTGCCAGAGGACTTAAACCGAGTGAAGTAGTGTTTGGGTTGGCTCCAGCCTGAAGGAGGACAATGAATGAAGTTAACCAGCCTGATTGGTATTAAAATTTTAATTTGAGCCAGCACACTAGTAAGATTGATGAAAAACAATTGATGTGACACTTCTAATAATTGTTCTTCAAAATAGAAATGACTAAGAACGACTCATGATTCATGTCAGTGAACGAGTATTAGTTTCATATTAGTTTCGTGCTAAGTTCTGAATGCATTTTAGAAAGACATCCATGAACTACTTGAAAATGGACACAACCTACGGTGCACATCCAATGTATACCTATTACCACTAAACTTGGATTGTAGTATAAAATGGGCAGAAGCAAAAGTCAAAATTCTAAAACACAATAAAGTGAGTGGAAAAGATGACGATATTTCACAATCATACCTTCAGCAGCAGGTCAACGCATTCATACGAGGGGCACAAAACAGCCCCCATAAGAGGGGTGCCAGAAAGAGGAGAATCAGCATTCGGCTGTAAATGTAAATCGATAAATCAGATTTTATCAAATAAGCACCATTAGAAACGTAAGGTTCCCAGATCAACCTAAGACCATTGTATGAGATGACACATGAAAAAGAGAGAACTTACTAATTATAAGTTATTTAAAATGAATCAAATATCAATAAACCTTCCATTTATAATCCAACTAAAAGACAAAATCTAGGCGCACAACAATTCACAATATATAATAAAGGATAATCGGGAGTACATCACTTCAACATTGACCTAAGCACAACAAAAACCAATCATCATTCAAAATTATAAATATCCCTAAAGGTATTACAAACCACAATAGCATGATCTTACAAAATTTTCGAGGATGGAACTCGTAAATTACAAACAAATATCAAATGAACTTTTGTCATCTCGAGAACTAAACTACAATGATTTCTTCACAATCAAACTAAATCTCAGAAATAGTATTTCATTTATAAAATCCACGTGATACCAAAACTTCTTTAGCAAACAACACAAGTCATAGGATTTCACTCACATTAGCACCACGGCGTAACAGAAATCGAACGGATTCGACACATCCAGAAGATGCCGCACATGTCAACGGTGTTCCTTTCACAGAACGTGCCTCTAAATCAGCACCTCTCAACAGTAACATTTGCATAATCTCTTTGTTTCCTGCACGACAGAACCACTTGTGAATTCATTCTACAAACAGAGCAGCCGCATATCTTCTATAAACAAGGCAAAATAGCATAAAAACTGAGCAACCTCTTTCAGCAACAGGATGAAAACATGTGATTCCTTTGTAACCGCTGAAATTAATATCAGCTCCTCGGAGAATCAAATACTTCACGGCCTTAAAATATCCCTTCGCAGCAGCAACTAGCAGAGCAGTATCCCCTTAACAAAAGGATCGAAAAGGCATTAAAGAAAAAAGTGACATTATACTTGGGAAATCGTATCAACCGAACTACTCGTACGCAAATCCTAAAGAGATACCTCTTTCAGTTTCCATATCAACATCCAGATTCAGTTTCTCAATCAAAACTCTGAAAATCGGTATGTTTCCATTGTCAGCCGCAAGGTGTAAACACGTGAATCCTTCAGGACCTTTCGAGTGCTCGCACTTTTTACGAAAGGCATCATCATCACCAGTTTCATATCTTACCCCTACCGAAATGGCAAACCACTTCACAATTCATCCAACAGCAAAAGAGAAAAAAACTGAAGTTGACGCGAACAAATATTAACGAAGGAGCAGTAAACATTTACTCTGAAGCTCGTCGAGGTCTCCGGTGAACGCAGATAACAGAATCCGCCAACCTACAAATGAAAAACAAGCTCTCAAAACACGCAGAAAATCCCGGAAAAAAACAAGCTCTGGTTCTATTTCATGGCAGCATAATCAGAAAAAAATCCAAAAACCAGAGGAAAACGCTGAAAAGAGTTTCGAAGAGAGAAAGATAGAGAGAGTTATCAGCAACTCACCGTCACGCGTACTGACGTAGGCCTCCATGAGAGGATTTCAGCAAAATGTAAATGGAAGGAGCAAGGAACTGTGAATCTATGGCTTTTATATGGGAGTTAGGACGCAAGGGCCTGTTTGTTTAGTAAAATATTGTGTTACTTTCGACTTTCGAGCGCGAGTATCGACGTTGAAATCATGGTCTGACCAAACGGCGCCTAACTGAGATGGTATTGTTTTCAAAACGGTAAAGAGAAGTGACTTTTGGCATATCTATTTTTAGTTTAAATTTTAACAAATTCTGAAGAGGGAAATTTATTACAATACCCAATTTTTCTTTTTAATTGTATCTTGTCTCAATTTTATTCTTTTTCTATATAACGTTTAATTAGGTTACTTTTAATTTAAGACTCGATTTTATATTTGCTAGGTTCAACTAACTTTATTTTATGATATAATTATGTGAACAAAAATAATATGTTTTATATTTATATTGTAGATGCTTATAATAAAAAAAAAAAATTAATAAAATTACTCTAATAAGAAAATGAATCTATATAAATTACTTATGAAAAATTTAATGAAAAATATTTTCAAAATTGATAAGTGAGTTTAAAAATTATGCAATTTGGATATTATTTTGTAAAATAATCTAAATATGTAATAATATTTACGTACATTTTTCAATTTCTTTTTTTTTTCGTCACTTTTAAGTTTTCTATTTTTATTACATAACTTTTTTTTATAAATTTTATTACATATTCATAATATTAANCCTAAAAATTCAGATTTACTAAATTGGGTAATTTTTTTGGCCAAAACTTGAAGAATTCCGCCTAAATTAATGTGATTAATGTACAGAATCATTTTGGTCAAATATTGCGACTATTGCCTTTATTAATTGCATGATTTAAATTTGGTATATAATATATTTACAAAATTTGCGGCTATTACCTTTATTAGTTGCATGGTTTATATTTGGTATATAATATATTGAAAAAAATAAAAATATTTTTTATTTAAAATTAAAAATCAAAAAAATAATTATTCATAACATATGGGTCAATATTAATTGAGACGTAAACGAAATAGTCAATTATTTATAGTTTATAAATTTATAGGTTTTGAATAGTTTATACAAAAATAAGAATTTGATCTATAGTTTATATTGTTTCATATATTTAACTATAGAAATTTATTTCTAAATAGATTTTTTATTAAACTATAAAGTACATAATTTATATTGTTTCATATATATTTTTTTATTTGGCCAAAAATATAGATTTCATATTATTAATTTATAAATATTGTTTATTAAGAATTTTTAATTTATAAAAATTAATGAATATCTCTTACTCGTGCACTGCACGAGATTCATATTAGTTAGCTAATAAATGAATTGATACAAAATTTTCAATGTAATTATTTGAAACGCTATTTGGATAAGTTTATGAGGAAACTAAAAATTCAATATGCTCATTTGAAATGTTGTGTAGAGAAAGTTTATGAGTTAAGTTTGATATTTTTCACAAAATAATCCTAACAAATCAACAAAATCTGAATTTAATTAACTGGGTATTAGTTTGTGATTACCAAGATGTGAACAATCATTCATGCACAATAAAATAAAAAAAGGCAAAAAATCTAGATAATGATTTCTAAAGTATGATTAATTTTTTACTAGAAATTTTTTTATTAGGATCTGTGCTAGATCTTCGTTTATTACACACAAACTAATCAATTAAGGCAAAAATGCCCAAAGATAAATTGATTTTTTGGTGTAAGCTGCTATTGGCGGGAAAAACAAGTAGGCCCGCGCGCAGCCACTATTTCCGGTGATGTAGTGGTCAATGTTTTTCCAATTGCCAGACAACAGTTGCAATAATTATACATTTCCGTGTAAAAGATAGGTTTGCAGGAAAGAAAATACACGAATTAACATCACATGATATATTTAGAAGTGTGCAATTTTTTGGTAGCATTCACTTGGTTATAATAAATAAATGCTGATTGTAAATAACTTTTTTTGATTTTAGTTGGATTTATTGGATAGAGTGAGTTAAAACTTGATTGAATATAAATAAAGTTGGTTTTGATTTAATTTATTGGTTAAAATGAGTTAATTTTAAATAAAGTTGATTGAGTGAGATTTGTAATTTATATTTAAATATTATTTAAATCATAAAGTAAATGTGATGTAAAAGTAGAAGATATGTTATTGGAATTTATATTTAGTTAAAAAATGTTAACGGATGAATAGTAAATTAAAATTGATGTGATGTATAAAGATGATTAATCGGTATATTTGATTATATTGATAATAGATCGGAGTAGAGTTCGATGATTATTTTANCGATGTTGCCGATCAGTGCACACAAAAACCGTATTTGCAGCGGAATTTGCTAAATGAAGCTGAGGTTATGTACCAGGTTAATTAAAGTATGTCTTTTTTCTTTCTTTGTTTTGTTATGGCGAGGTGACAGTGAAACTAGTGCTCTCTTGGAATTCTTCGGTGGCGTGGTATTGACACCTTACTCTTTCTGAACTTGCCTCGCCGAAGAAGAACGATTGACTTCCATCTGTGCGGTTGAAAACACAAACATATAAGGAAGAAAAATTATAGTAGTCGGTTAAATCTTTTATTTTTAATTTTTTTGGGGACAGGGATAAACATGACTTGGTGTCATTGTCCTTTTAATTTTTTCATCCACAGTGAAAGTTCTTCTGTTTCTTCTTCATTTTTTTAAACTGTAAAATGCTACTTCAATTTAATGTTAGTTTTTGTTTCTTTTGATTGTTTCGATGGTTATGAAACATGTGAAACCTCAACCGCGGCTCAAATTGTTCATTCATGTGTTTGAGCAAATTGTCAAATTCAAACACATGAATGAACAATTTGAGCCGCGATTGAGGTTTCACATGTTTCATAACCATCAAAACAATCAAAAGAAACAAAAACTAACATTAAATTGAAGTAGCATTTTACAGTCCAAAAAAATGAAGAAGAAACAGAAGAACCGGATGAGTGGATGAAGAGGGAACGTCGGGTCCCATGGATCGAGTAGTGGCCAATGAATCCAAACGAGCATCAATTGTATCTAACCGAGCATCAATTGCATCTAACCGTGTCCGCACATATCCCTCAAATAATGTCACTTGATTAAAAATTCTTTCCATCTAATCCGATTGTGTGCAACTTGTGTCGGCACCGTCCTCGTCGTGTGCTTCAGCATCCTGTTCGGTGTCGCCAATTTGTTGCGTATCCAAAGATTTCCCTTTTGCAATATTTTCTTTAAAGAAACGCTCGACTTTGGGCCTCTTTTTGTGGGGGTTAAGAGCAAAATTCTTATCAATGAATTCACAACAAGTCAACTCTTCCTTGTCAATAATCTTTGCCCGTGTGACCGTTTGTATCCTAAGCCTCGCCGGATTCAAAATTTGAAAGTGCATTGCCAATGCCGTCACAAAAGTCCCAAACGACGGATGATACCATTCATGTACTTGGATGTCGGCTAAGCTTGCCCAAATAAATTCGATGACATTGATTCTTTTTTGTTTATCCATGGCACACTTCATTATAAAAAGTTCATGTTGGTTCAATCTAGTAGCTTGATCCTTCCCCGAGACTTGATAAGCGATGAACTTCCCGAAAAAGCCTAAAGCAACATCCTTCGCAAGAAAAAAAGGAGCCCCATTTGATGTAAATTTGTCACTCCCGGAAATCACCTTCCAATCCATTGGAGCCATCTTGAGATAATCTATGGGCTTTTTCTTAGCGCTCACGGACGTGAACCCGAAAACATCTTTCATCACCTTGGGTGTCACCTTGCACTCTCTTCCCATCATCATCCTACATGTAAGAAGTTTGTTTTTGTCTTCAATCTTCATGTGCTAATAAATTCAAGCGTTAGGGGATGGTAAGCCGGATATTGCATTTCCGCGTATTGCAAAATATTGACATTGGTGAGGTACTCTTTTACGTTGTTGCCAATCCCGATCTTTTCTAAAAGTTGCCAATCAATTTTTCGAGGTTGGGTGATAAATGATTCGTCAAGATTTCTAAAGTGCACGCCTTCATCTGCAAGGTATATAGGTAACGGACATCCATATTCTTTTTGAATGTTTCTCGATCGGGGTCAATTTGATACAATGACTCATCTCCCTCTTTATTAGTGTCGGGTCCACTTTCCGTGTCCTCGTGAAAATGAGAGTCCTCACGAGATGGAGAAGTTTCGGGAGTTGGTGTACGCTTGTCTCTTCTTAGTCATTTCGTCAAACACTTTGTGGGCACAATCTTTCACCACCTACAAAATCACCACCAACACCACCTACAAAATCAAATCATGTGTTTCCAACAACAACCAAGAATTCAAACCAAACAATATTCAACCCAACCAAAATTCATCATTAAGTGGAAAGCGGCGTGCCTCCAGGTGCCCTGTGCTTCGAGCTCGCAGTCGTTCGAGGTCGATGGATCTAAGGTTTCTGTTGATTTTACTCTGTCGAAGTTCACACTGGTTTCATTTTCGGACGGCGCCATTGGAGACGATCTTTTTATGGGTTTAAGCTGAAATAGAAAGTAAATTTCGTGGAAATTATGTTTTGTGCTCCATATTTGTAACCAAAAAGTGAAATATGTGGAGGGTGTCTGTATAATTGTGCTGTTGTGCATAGTTTACTTTTATAGAGTTTTTGGTTGACTAATTGAGTCATGTGGTGCAATAGT